TACCCTTCAGAGTTTCGAATTCAACTTTCATGCGCAGGTGCGTGAAATTTTTAACTATTTTCCAATGTTTGAACTATTTCTGCATAGACTACAAAGCAGTGAATATCATTGATAGGCAATCATTCGATGGGCTGAATTGTACAAAACACATGATCGCATCTGCTAATCTGATGCGCGTTGCTATTTACTTGCACAGTTCCCCTGCAGGTTTTTCTCGCCAGTGGCACGCTCTTCCCGGCAGATGGTTTTAGCTAAAAGAATTGGGACTGGCCACCACAACTGTTAGAAATTATTACAGTGACTCCCAATCCATGCTCAAAAAGTCCAACGCTCTGGATGCCTCGGTTGAAGGGTTAAGTCAAATTTCACGAGTTCGCACGTGAGTGGCGGCGTGGATGCCCAAACACGGTCCTGGGTAGCGCTCAAAAAGTTTCAGCACTTCAGCTGCTCTGGTTGCGGAGTTACGTCAAATTTCACGTTTGTACTCGTGAAAAGCACATGAGACGTGAAAGTGATGTGTAAGTCGTTTTTGCGCGCATCTGATCAAAGGCCGCCGTCGGTTATGCTGAGAAAGTTCAGGTCCTCTGGCTGGTTCAATTCTAAAGTTCCAAAGCGCATGCGTGAAATTTTCACGTGCCCGTACGTGAGATGCAGAAGAGCTCACAAGTAATTTATTTTTACGGACACAACAGTGAGCGACAAGTAATGCTGCAGAATTGCAGCTCTCTACAGCTTATTGATCAGCTTAAATCTGGAATTGGCATGACGCCAGTTTAAACTTTGACGTGAGCGTATGTGAGTTCTGAAGGTGCGTGAAGGCTGAATTTGAAATCTTTGGTTTAGACGCGGCCAAGGAACAACTCTGTGAAGTTCCCAGCATCCTAGAATGTGCCGTTTCCGAAAACGCTTTCCCGCCAAAAAAACTTTCACGTGCCCCTACATGAGAACCACACGGAACCGAGCGTCCGTTTTGAGGATTGGATCCCGCGCATAGGTGTAGATTAAGTTACTGAAGTTCAGCCTTGTAGTTATGGATCTCGAGATGAAAATTCGTTACAGACGAACACACAGACACACACATACATATCCACACACACACATATATATACCCACACAGGCATACACATACATATTCACACAGACACACACACACAGACAGCCCTCGACAATATGCGTTTTTGCATTGCATAGCTGCAAAAAACGCGTACTGCGACGAACATGTCTGTGTGTGTATGTGTGTGTGTGTTCGTCTGTCCAGGTATTCCAATTCGGCAACCAAGCAAGCTCCAGCGCCAAGATTTTGCTAGTAGGTTCCTTGGCCAATTGCCACCAGAACGGCGGTACCAACCTTCACGCAAGTCTGGACCCTGCGTGCAAGGGAGGGAGAAAGTTTTGGCGGGAAAATTGGTAATTCGGGAACGAAAAAAGAAAGAAAGCTAAAATTTTGAGGTTATGTTCCTCGTCCACATATAACTCAAAGATTTCAAATTCAGCCTCCAGGTGTGCGTGATTCCCGCATACGGCTCCGTGAGATTTTCCGGCGGGAAAATGGCTAACTCGAGAACTAGCAAAGCTGGGAGGCTGAAATTTTCAGGAAATGTTTCCAACCATGTACGACTTAAAATTATCAAACTCATCCCCACGCATGCGCGGTTCTCAAGTGCCGTCCCGCGAAATCTTTTGGCGGGAAAATGGCTAACTCGGGAATTAGCAAAGCTGGTAGGCTGAAATTTTCAGGGAATGTTCCCGATCCACTTACGACTTAAAGTTGTCAAATTCATCCCCCAGGGGAATGCCGGGCTC